GGACCAAATGAGTCTATAATGGGAAATATCTCGAAATAGAGGCATAATACAAAAAAATACTTCAGACAAAAGTTGCAGGGGACAAAGGGGGACACGCAATGGTATCATTGACTCTGACCTTGAATCCGATTTTCAAGGTTATTTCGGAGTTAAAATGGTTTCTTTAAATGAGAACCCCTATTTTTTATCCCGGATTTGAAAAAAACGGGAAATTTTACGTACAAAATGGTGTTTTTGTGAAGGTCATTTCAAGGTCAAATAAAGGTCAAATATGCGAACACAGCTGAAAATGTGTCGACTGACATTCCAAGCTTTTAGGAAATGTTCAAGTCACTTTGAAAGGTCCAATGGCCTATCGAGCATGAACGACCTACAAAGTACTACCATTATCAAGGTCAATTGAAGGTAAAGTGACTTGAACCTTTCGAAGTGACTTGAACCTTTCGTAAAAGCTTGGAATGTCAGTCGACACATTTTCAACTGTGTTCGCATATTTGACCTTCATTTGACCTTGAAATGACCTTCACAAAAACACTATTTTGTACGTAAAATTTCCCGTTCTTTTCAAATCCGGGATAAAAAATAGGGGTTCCCATTTAAAGAAACCATTTTAACTCCGAAATAACCTTGAAAATAGGATTCAAGGTCAAAGTCAATGATACCATTGCGTGTCCCCCTTTGCCCCCTGCAACTTTTGTCTGAAGTATTTTTTTGTATTATGCCTCTATTTCGAGATATTTCCCATTATAGACTCATTTGGTCCACCCTATATATATATATACGGGGTGTCTCTTAAGTAAGATCGGGGCCACATTAGGGACGTAGAATGGGAGGAACAAAAAAGTCTTGTACCATTTTACAATTTTCGTAATACTTAACAAGACATGAATTACTAAAAATTGTCGAAAATTGGTCTTGAATAATTTGTTACTCAAATACTATTAACTTTACAGAAAAACTATTAAAGACAAAAATTGTTCATTTCCTTCTCATAAGGTTCTGAGAATTTTTTTAGAATTTGTTCAGAATTTTTTAAGATCGTATTTTCTTATGTTGGTAAATAGTATGAAAATGCAGTATTGAAAAATTGATAAAAAATTGCGAAAAAATTCTTAGAACTTTATGAGAAGAAAACAAACAATTTTTGTCTTTCAGTTTTTTCTGTAAAGTTAATAGTATTTGAGTAAAAAATTATTGTTATTGAATGGTTAATAAGTGGATTAACACCCTTTTGTACTTTGGTTGATTGACTTTATTGCGTAGGAGCTGTACACGCTCGTGACTGATTGTCCGCCATATTCTTTGATACTGCCCGCTTCTTCATGCGCCGCCGCGATGCGCGTGGTAAGCTCAGTTCCGTATCTACTATCTCGAGAATCCTCGACATACCGCCCTCCTTGAAAGAATGTCTTTCAATCTAATTACATAAAAGTGTGCTACTCTAGCCTAACTCCTTTGAATAAAAGTACTCATGTTAAACTGAATTATAATTAAATTAAAATAATGATAATTCACAATAGTTGGAATATTATCAACTAAATAATAAAAAATTAGAAACTAGACGCAATAAACAAATTAATTCTCTATAATAATCGCCTAATGAGCCAGTAGTCTGCGTCGTCTAGCTGATTCCCTTTAAACATCGTTAATTGGTAATGGACAAAGTTTTTGAATAGCTCTCCGGAGCCTTCCATTTTCGGTCTGAACTGTAGCGACCCGAACGATTCCGTCCTTGCCCGCGAAGATCTCCACCACTCTGCCCAGTTTCCATCTCAGCGGAGGTAAATTATCGTCCTTCAGAAGCAGCATTATGCCTGCCTCCATTTTCTCTTGTCCTCTTGTCCATTTGCTTCTCATCTGCAAGGTTTGCAGATACTCTCGTTGCCACCGCTTCCAGAAGTGCTGTCGAACCTTTTGGAGATGCTGTCAACGGGATAGCTTATTATCTGAAACACCTACGAAATTGTTCTGCATAGGTTCTAGTAGGGATCCCCGATAAGGAAGTGAGCCGGGGTTAATGCTACCAAATCGTTGGGATCAGCGGATAAAGGAGTTAGGGGTCTCGAATTTAGGACCGCTTCTATCTCTATTAGCAACGTGTTGTACTCCTCATACGTTTGGATAAGCCCTCTCGTCACCGTGTTCAGATGTCTTTTCAATGCCTTCACGGCCGCCATCCATAGCCCTCCGAAATGTGGCGAGCTGGGAGGTATAAACTTCCATTCGATTTTTTGATTTGCTAATTTCTCACCGATTTCGTTTTCATTATTTGTTAGGAACTCGTAAATTTCTCTCAATTCTCGTGCTGCGCCCACGAAGTTAGTTGCGTTATCGGAATACAGTTGCGAACACATACCCCTTCTTGTTATAAATCTTCTCAAGGCCGCCATGAAGGCCTCCGTAGTTAATGCCGTTACCAGTTCTAAGTGTACCGCCCTTGTACTAAAACAAACGAATATCGCCACATACACCTTGACAACTGGAAATTTACCTCGCCTTCTACTCTCTCTCATTTGTAGTAGACCAGCATAATCCACTCCAGAAATGAGAAAAGGTCTCCAAGATTCCGTGACTCTATCCTTCGGAAGATCCGCCATTTTTAATTCAGGCGTTCGAGGTTTGTATCTAAAGCATTTAACGCAACCTCGAGTTACTCTTTTTGCTTCTCTTCTTCCATTTAAGGGCCAATATTTTTGCCGAACAGAATTTAATAGCTGCTCTGGACCACAGTGCAATCGTTTTTCGTGTTCCTGTTTAAATATCAATGTGACTACATGATGACTTGCTGGTAAAATGATCTGATGCTTCTGATCTGGAGTTAGATCTGCATGCCGAAGGCGTCCTCCCACTCGGACCATTCCTTTCTCGTCCAAAAATGGGTCCATCTTAGTCAGTTTACTTGCTTTGCTTACTGATCGCTGCTCTTTTAGTTCCTTAATATCCTTTACAAAGCGTCTCGCTGAATGATTTGTAAGATAGCGGTTTCTGCTTCCTCTATCTCCTCCAACGTCAGTGGGCCGAATTTCTTAGCCCCTCGCAGGCTGGCTATAAATCTTTGACAAAAGGCCATCCCCCGCCGTAACTTAGAATTAAATTTTACTATTTTATTCCTCCTAAAGAAAAAATAGTTTATTTAACTCTAATGATATGTATCATATTCGTATAATTGATTATCAAATTAATTAAATTCTACCAAATTAAAAAGTAAAACTCAATCTTTTTTTTATTGTTTACTTAACTCTAATGATATGTATCATGTGTATAAAAATTTTTATCTATGGAATTTTAAAATTTATACAAACTTACCTTTTTAAAAAAAAGGTAAAAAAAGCGCTAAGCGTTGATGAAACTGGCCCAAATGGTGCTTCTCGGAAAGAATCACCATTTG